AAATTGGGCCTTGAGGATGACATAAACATGCATTTTGTGTCGGGTGGATCCTGCAAATCTGTCAGTCATAACCAGGCTTATTGCTCCCCCTTTGTCTTTGCTAACCAATTTATAAGAAATCAGCTGGAAGGAATGCTCTTATTTCATTTAAATGGTGCCGGATTTGTAAAAAACATCATTTGTTGGTTGAATTTGTGGTTTCAACACTGAAAATGCGATCAATCCTATCTAAATTTCAGAAGCTCACTGTTAGGGACCTATCTGTTGACTGTATTGAATGATAGAAGACAGAAAATAAAGCAATTATATTATCAATCTGTTTCATCTACACCATTTGCAGGAAAACGTTAAAAAAAGCAGCAGCCTGGATTATCATCCTGCTGGTCACCAGCTCGATCACACGCTGCTGTGGGCTCTGATGGGCGTCGATTTTTAAGCCATCAAGTCAGCCAGTAGGGTTGGTCACTGTGGCAAAAAAACAGCACATCCAGGCTCAAAACAAAAGAAAAAGAAAAAACACATCAACATCTGCAGGACAGAGCTTGGTTGAGGTGACAACAAGCTGCAGAACCTCATCCTGAAATCTCTTTTAAAAAATCTGGATGAGGTATTGTCAATGAGAAAATCCCAGAAAAGAAAAAAGGAGCAGCATTTTTTTCGTGTATAAAATGTGTAGAATTGTCATAAAACCTTAAAGAAAACAATTAAGATAATAAAAGAAATACTAACAATTATAAATATTCCATTTATTTCACCAAAAGATGCATCCTTTGATTCCTATTTTAGCAACAGAAAGGATTTAACTGCTTTTCTCATGGGCAGAAACTAAACTATTTTGCTCAACTTCTAATATGCCTTTGTTTAAGGGAAAATAAAACTGATTTCTACATTTTGAAAACACATTTTAATAGTCATTGTCACAAAATAAGAAAAAACTAACAAAACAATTTATTTAAGTGGATGTGTGACTATGAACCAAGAAGCAAGACTTAACAGATAACAGGAAGGCTGAACGTATGACGACACAGTCGCTCACATCTTGGTCCTTACAGGCCACCCTACAACTAGAAAAGTTTTCTGAATTCTGATCTTCTGACTAATGAGGAACGATCTACAGTCTATAGATAAGGAGTATATAGAGGCTGCCATTACAAAAGCACTGCAATTAATGATTATTTTACTACTTAATTAAACTCGCAATTATTTTTCATAATAATTAATTAATAACAAAATAGCAAAGATGAGTTCTACGCTTTTTGTTTTTTTCTTCTACAGAGTTTAAACTAATTGAAGATTAAACTTTTCCAATTCAGGAGTTTGGATTGACCGTGTTAAAATATAGAAAAATATTTAATCTTAAATACAAAATGGATTCATATTTGATACAATTGCTAATTAACTACTGAATTAGAGGATAATTATCAACAATTCTGATTAATCGAATTGTTTCAACAGTATATTTTAGTAAAACATATTTTTTATTCCCCTCTCTTTAATGGAGAACACTCTTGTCACTCCTTTTAGTTATTTTTTTTTTGTCAGACCAAAATTTTATTAAGTCAGAACTGGGTTAAAATAAGTATTTGGAGGTCAAAACATTTACATTAACAGAGTTTTAATCTGCAACTATAATCTGGGGATTTCACAGCCTGCAGGAACATTTATGATCAAACATCCTTCATTCTGTGCAGGAATGAACCCTAACCCTAAGTTGCTGCTGAAAAGCTAAAAAGCAAGTTGATTGTTCCCCCTGGAAGTTTCACATCTTCGTGTAGAGACTTAAAACAGGACGACAATTTCAGGATTTATGCAAAGAAGCTAAAACTGTTTAGATCAGTTTGTGGTAAATTGAGTTACACCTTTAATAAAATAAACAGATTACATATAAAACCTAAATACTCCTGGTTTGTTATTATTAATGTTTTTTTAAAACACTTAGTGTCGCATTAGAATAGCCTGTCTTTGATGTGAATTTTTCTATTTAGTTTCCAACATCCAAGTCTTTCTCTAGGCGAAAAAAAAATTCATGTACTAAAAATCTATCAAATCTCTTTTTTGGGGGGAAATACTTTGTCCACCTTAATGATTTTTTTCACCAAATTGATCAAAATCAGTGTTTTTGTCATCACCCCTGGATAATAGACCTTGCTGGAAAACCGAAACAAAAACAAATCTTTAAATAGATAATAAATTAGTTTGGCCATTTGTTATAATAAAAACACAATTTGTTCTATAAGTTTTAAGAAAAAGCAAATAAAAAAAATTGTAAAATGATGTTGATACAACATATTTCTATGCTTATTTTAAAACAACAAACTATGCTTTTCGTCCAAAGGAGCTCAAAATGAAATAGCATCACTGCCAGAAAGACTGATCACATTTTATTGTTTAACTCTAATGTGCGGAGCTGGAAACAGTCAATAGATTTTTTTTTTATTCAGAGCTCATTTTAAGACATAAAACAAAAGACAAGAATCATAATAGCTTTCCTGACCCGGTTTTGCTCCAAATCATTTGTGCTTGAATAATGTTGGCAAAGTAAATCAGAGCTTATGTACTGTGATGGGTGGGTCAATGTGTACTGATTGGTTTTACAGCTAATATTTTATCCGGAGAATCCACACTAACCAGCATTTGTTACATTCATCAACTTACACCTGTTTGGGTGTTTTTTTTTCTTGTAGAAGAAAAAATATATAGATCTTAAATCATTTCAGTACATTTCAAACAGATTTTCATTAATTACATTAATTAATTAATGTAATTAAAGTGAAAATTACACTTTAATTCCAAAATAGTTCTAATAATAAGTAAAAATGTTTTACAATTAAAGTGGGTTAGTTAAATTTATCCGGGAACAGATACATTTCTGGCCCCTTAAATAAAAAAAAAATTATACATATATCACTTGAAACAAGAAAATTAGATTTTTCTCATTTTAAGTATAAATATTTATTTTTAAGCACATAACTCTTGTAAAAGAACCTACAACTTTTAGTTCAGCTGCTGCATTGTTTTTGACTTTGCCGTTTTCACATTTTTAGACTTTCAAACTGAAGTCAAGACGTTGACAGATGCAGATAAAAATGCATCTTATCACCTCCAGGACAAACCCAGTGGGATAAACGGCTGCTGCCATTAAAGCACAGCAGCAGAGGGAACAGTGGTGAGAAAAACAGCGACTCCATCTGCTTCAGCTCAACACACGTAAAAGAAAACTCTTCTAACAACTATCTGAATCCATAATGACCGAAAAGGAAAGGATTCTTCTCTAAGTATAAATAGTGCTGCTTGATATTTCCTAAAAGCTTCTGTTTGAACAAATAAAAAGACGCTAAAGCGTTTATCCTGCTGGTGTTAGACTCAAATGACAAAACAAACAGGAATGCTCACTGCTGCCAATCACATATTTTCTGATAAAAATACGATGTATAGAAGGTTCAAGAAGGTGCAACCTAAACTATAATCATGTAAATGAAGAGACTCAATTAGTATGCATGTATGTGTGAGAGAGTCAGAGCGGTGGGGGGGGACAGAGGAGTGAAAAGGGGAAGGGCAAGTGTTCCACTTCTTTAAAAGAAGTGGGTATTTTTCCTTTCTGTGAAATCCTTTAAATACCTCACCTACCCTCCCCCATCCCCTGTAAGACTCCAACCCCCCCACACCCCTCCGACCCTGAGCCCTGCCCCTGCCGGAATTCAACTCATGCGACCCCACCCCTTTTTAAGGGCCAGCTGGACACCTCTAACCCCGAGCTGTATGGTCGCCCGGGACTGGTCACTCTAGAGCTTTCTGGGCTGATCGGCTCTAATAACCGGGCCGCTTGCTACTGAGTGCTGGTTCTAAAGGACCAGCTGCTCCCCTCAGGTCCTACTTAGTCTTTGGGGGAGATAGATGAAGGCAGATTGCCATGCTTTTATCTTCAGGAGCTCCTATATAGGAGAAGACTTCTTTGTTAAAATCAGTTTGATTCCATCGCAGTAAAATAACATTAATGAAGCTTTTAATTCTGCTCGATCACCACCAAAATGTTTGTGTTGAAGTGTTGGGATTGATAATCAGCTAAATGTATTCCAGTAATAGGAAGTCAAACTCTGTTACTGTTTCACTACTTTAAAATCTTCACCTTTATTAGTGGATGGAGGTTCATTCTGCAAATTTAATCTCTTCCTAAATATTTTCAGTCAGCAGCTGCAGACAGAAATGCATGAAGCCTCTGAGGGATAAACCACAGAGAGTCTCAGGCCCCGTCCACACGAAGACGAACCCTGGCCTAAACGCACAAATTTTTCACCAAACCAGCCTCTCATCCACACGAAGCCGGCGTTTCGGGGGTCTGTAAACGATCTTTTTTTTATTCAGCCTTCAGAGTGGGAAGATTTCGAAACGCCGTTTTCGCGTTTCCATCTTTACGCTCTAACCGCATATTTTTTTTTACACGCATGCGTCATAGCGTCGCCTCTAACGCATGCGCGACCAGTATCACAACAACAATGGCGCCGTTGCTGCTAATGCTACTCACCCTGCTGTCGGGCTTACAACAGAATCTTCTTCTTCTGGAATATCTCCAGGAAGAACGGAGCAATATCGATGACATAGTTCAGCACCTGAATTTGACTGAACCACGGAAATGGACCCGCAGGGCAACCATGTATAAATATTAGTGCGCATGCCCAACATTCCGTCGCTTATTTTTGCTTTGGCACCACAGCGCCACTTACAGGCCTGGCATACATTTTGCAGCGTTTTCATGCATTCGTGTGGATGCTCACATTTATTTTACGTCTCCGTCTTTACGGCAAACGTTTTGAAAATATCAGCGTTTCGTGTTCGTTTTGACTTCGTGTGGACGGGGCCTCAGGTGTGAACAGAACATCTGGCATTTCATCTGTTTGTTTTTTACACGTAGAAAGAAAGAAAAAAAGCCTGATATTTGAAAGAAAAGGACTTAATAGCTGTGGCGGAGAAATAAGGGCGACAGATACTCCTCCTCCTCTCACCTGGACGGCCTGTCGCCCCTGCTGAGCGTCGGCCAGCAGCTGGATGGTGATGGCCCTGCAGTCCTGCACGGCATCTTGGAGGTAGACAAAAGTGTGGCCCATGTGGCGGCCCACGCTGCACTCCCTGCAGATGGGCACTGAACAGGTTTCACAGAAGAACAGGAACACCTACGAAGGACAATTAGTAATTAGCGCTTCTGTGGTTAAAGAAACTTCAAAGTCGCAGAACAAATCACCTTTTGGGCTTTTAATTTTGAAACATCTGAGGGTAATTCTCCAGTTATTAACAATAGCCAGATATACTAGAAACAAAGACAAACTTACTAAAAATGTATAATGAATTTAATAGGGTTTCATTTTGAGTGTTTTTGCTTTTCTCAGTCAGGTTTTGGACCCAAAGTCCCTCAAGACTGAAATGAAATTTGATGCATCAGTAATTTAATTGACAAATGGCACAGAAAAAGATATTAGTATTTTATCTAGTCTTCATAAAACAGCACCAGTCCCTAGGGTGCAATGTTATTTCCACCACTTAATGTAACTTTTAACTTTTTATTTCAGCCTCTATCTACGTGCAAACACATCCGCTGTCATGGAGAGCTAATGACAGGGTAGCAGCGTTAGCTCCATGGAAGGAAGGATTGAAAAAAGAAAAGAATAAATGAATAAAAACCAAGATACAGTTTTGCAAAACCAAAGTTAGGTTTATGGGTCTTCATTTTAAAACACCTCATATTTACTTTGAAGGTTAAATTATGAGGAAAATTAAATTTTTTATCGTGTATTTTGAGTACATTTTTATTTCAACTCTAAAACAGGGATTAGAATGCTAACATGCTAAGAGATTTTAAAAGACAATTTCCTCAAAATTCATTCCCATCATTATATGAAATATTCATAGTGTCATTATAAACGCTATTAGTTAAATAAGACCAAATTTGTCTGTATAGAATTAATCATGGGCAAAAATGTGAACGACAAGAGAAGATTTCCCCCAAACTTGTCGCTGCACGCTGCTGATCAGCTGGCTGAAATTACCAGATATTCACCGCTATTACTGCATCTAAATAAATAAATAGATAAACGACATGGTTTGCTGATATCTACCTAGACTTTAGGTCTTATACAAAAATCTAACGCCTCTAATCCTCCATATAATGTAATTAGTGTTCCAAACTAGTAAATCCCAGCAGTCCCATCAATGACAGTTTTATTTTGATACTCTATTCCATTTAAATAACATTATTTTGATTTGAAAGAATAAAAAAAAAGAAAGAAAAAGCCAAAAATAAATATTGCAGGCTATACAGGTATCAGGTATCATAAATAACTTCATTGTATTTCTGACTCCTTTAAAACATTGTTTCACACAAGCAAATACGATTCCTTGTAGTTGTAAACTTTAGCTACCAATCAATCAAAAGATGAAGTCTCCGTCTTTGTTTTTATCCTCTCTCAACACTCTGGGATTTCTTACATTTTCCAAATTAGGGAGGATAACCCTTGTAGCTGAAATGAAACCAGTTAAAAGCCAAAGAAACATTTGTTAGACCAGGCCTGTCTCCTAAAGTTGAACAAATTCAGGTATGGATTATTCAATTATCTTTTGCCAAAAAGGCAATATTAACGGGCATTTCCTTAATGCTTGAATAAATAAACCTTAATGGCTTTAACATATAATATAAAATTATGTTTATTACATTATTTATACTTTTAAACTATCCACATTTCTGGTTCTACATTTAGATAGCGTTTAATGCTATAATATATGAATAGCACATTTCTGTTTAATGTGTTATATCTAAATAGAAGCATGGATAATCTTTTCATAGCTGTTCTTAAGATACCAGATTCTCTTTCTGCATTTTTATTTTGTATATTTCTACCTAAATGTATTATGCTGAGAAACTTAAACCGAAGCGAGCAGATTCCTCTGTTCAGAGACCTTGTTCTTTAATGACACGTGTCAACAAAACGAGCCTGGCATCTCGACAAACTGAATAACCCGGCAACGTGTCGCTCTCACCCGTTCTACTTCCCTCCATAAAACGCAAAGCTAATTAAAAAGAGAAGGGCCATGAATGCTAATGAAAAGTCATCCATATGCAAGCGTTACCAGGGGGCCTCCCATCCTCTGCAGCCCAGAGATCACTTCTCATTCCAAGCACAGACGCACGAACCAAAAGGAGCCCAAACAACATCTATACCTGTATATAGAGAGCGTTTCTAGACTCAACATGATCAAATATGTTCACAAGTAAAAGCATTTAAAAAAAGATTCTTTTAAACAGCAGGGTTTAATATATTTCAGCACTAAGCTTTAGAATTTATATTTTAGAGTAAATCAAAGAATACTATTAAAACAACATGAAATTAAACAGATCACCTTCTACGTTTGCAGCTAAATATGCGTTTATGAAAACATTAAGCCGCATGTTTGACTGATTAGCACTCTGCCTATGTGATAATGTGCCACCCATTCGCAGCCTAATAATCAATGCCCGTTTTAATAATCTAAATGAATCATATTTCAATCATCCAGACTCAAATATTACATGTGTTTTAAAATAAAAGGTGCCACTCTGTTTTTAATCTGCTGTAACATTTCAATTTTAGAGTCTGTTAGGGAATAAAAAACACTTTTTCTTAAAATTCTCCCAATTTATGTTTATTATTTCCAGGTTAATTTAATTAAATCTGTTTTTATTTCTATGAAGATTTTTTTTTTAATCAATGCATAAGGGATGTAATTTTAAATTAGTCCTGGTTGCAGTAGCAACGTTTATATCCCATTTATACTTTAAAGGAGTCGTGTTTAATGTTGCTGCTGTATGTAAAACATTAACATTTATTAAAAAAATGTTTTAATTAAATTGCCATCTGGGGCTGCTGTGATTTATAACACTAATTCAGAAGCAACTCAACTCCTTTTTCTGTATTAACTTTATCAACCGTTAATTATTATGATAGCTTTAATATATCGTTAGTTCAGCATTACTTCGGCTAAGATTGCTTTTTTTGCAGTTTGAGCTTTACCAGCTACTTTGTTAGGAAAAAGACGTTTGAAGTGTGTTTATTTCAGGATATTAGTAATTATAGTAGGTTGGTAAATGGATTTTAAACCTGTTTGAATTTAATAAAAATCATAAATTAAGACATTTCTGTGGCAATTGTTTTTTTTTATTTATTTTTTTTTATTTAGAAAGACAGATTTCCATCACATCAGTAACCCCAGCTCCATTTAAGATTATAACTGAGAATATAACCAGAAAGTCCAAGTGATTTTGTCCATGTTGCCTTTCTGGTATTTTTTACAGAATGGCAATGATGTTTTTTAAGAAGCAAGCTCTTTTAAAACTGGAAATGAATCAAAAAAGAGGAAGTTCTTGAAAGAAAATATTTGTGTTTATTATAGTTTTCCATACTACGAAAAAAATCTAAATATTTCCATACGGTGTAGGAACCCAGATGTTTATTTTATCTCCGAGTTGGGAGGTGTTTTATGATTAATCGATCCTAGCTTGGAGTTCACAACCAAAACGGGTACACTTTGAGGTTTCATTGCAGGATTTTTTACAGATAAAATATAAGAAAGGTTTTAAAGAGGGTGTCCAAAATTTCCCAGAGGAAATGGAAACCGGATTTAACCTTTGCTGTTAAAAATGAAGCTTTGCTGTAAACCCCCATCTAAATGCTGATTGGTTGTAATAGGGGGTTAATTAAATATGCACTGTGCGTCATATCCCACAGAGACTCCGGATCAATGGCCTCCAATAGCAGCAGAACGCAGTGGATGGAGAGGAGCCTGCAATCAATCCATCAATATTGGCGGTTCCCTTGGGGAGAAGCCTAATCTAATGAGTCACACACACACAGAGACACACCTCCCCCTTTATTTGACATCCTCCTCCTCCTTTCTGCCTTTGGCTTAACCTCCTCTTTTCTTACAGCCTCCACCAGGGTGCTGCACCACCCCGTCACTCACCGCCCTCCCCAGCTCTGCCTTCCTGTCCCATCCCGTCCCTCCCCCGCTGACATCTCCTGAATTCCAGAGGGAGACGGCACACGAAAAAAGGCTGGAATGCTGCCGGGTCAGGGTGATGGATGACGATGATGAGGCTCTGGCAGAACGAGGATCATTTCTGATCAGAAACCATCCGCTGGCTTAAAGAGGAAGCAGCTACGTCTCTTTCCTGTTTCTATTCAATGTTAATTCCAAAATCTTTTCCATTTTGGAAAAGACTTCTTTTTTAACGCTACAATAAAATTTTTTTTTTCCAATTTCTGATTTTATTAATCCAATATCATAACCTTCAATAATTGTGCATTTTGTCACATGTAGGACAGAAAGCTCACAGAGGAAATCAAAGTTTTGTTTTTTTCTTGGACAAACAGCTGCAGGGCTCCTCAATGCAGCGACCTGCTCGGGTGTCATCAGCAGCGAACTGCTCCTGGAGGTGAAACACGCTCCCTCATGGAGCTGTAGATTACATAATACACGAGCATCTTGGAAAACAGCTCAATAGTATCGATCCACGCAGGATACAGGCTCTTCTCACACAGCTGCACCTCACATCCCCCTGCAAGCCATTTCGTTTTTCTCAAGCAAAAAAAAAAAAAAAAAAAAGAATTGGGTTGCTTATGAGTTGTGGAAAATCACAGTGGTAACGGGGTTTAAGATGTGGAAAAACCCCCCATAAAAAATACAAAAAGAAAGAGAGGTGAGGTGGGCGTGGTGTTGAACACGCTGAGGAGGAAATTCAGGAAACACTCAGAGAATGAAGCTTTAAAGGCAGGAAGGACCGTCCCTGATTCACTGAAGCTGCTAAGATCCAGAAAGGACAGTGAAGCTGAAAAACTAAACCTTAAAAAATGTTTTATAGGATGGAGAGGGGTGTGATTAAAGCCGAGGAGGCAGCTATCGCATTACAATAGTCCCCCGGCTCTCTTTTTTTCCATCTTAGGTCACATTTGAACAATTTAAAAATAAAATCTTTATAGTTTTCAGGCCAAAAACATCTGCTTTTCATAAGCGGAAAAATGTTTTCATCTTTCCTTTATAAGATGGTTGAAAAAGATGCAACAGCTTACTTAGGGTCAGCTAATTGACAGCGAGGGAGTAGCAACAGGTGGGGGAGGCAGCACTGTGCTAGGTTACACACTATGCA